CATTAAAGACCCCTCCACCTCTACTCATTCACGACCCCCTCCCCACCCCTTCACATTAAAGACCCCTCCACCTCCACTCATTCACGACCCCCTCCCCACCCCTTCACATTAAAGACCCCTCCACCTACTCCAAGGGCTTCGACCGGATGAACTCACTACCATGTCATCGACCGTAACAGTCCCCCCCCCCCTCCCACAAACTACCTACTAAAAGCCTTGTTACCACCGGAGGCAAATCACAGTAAGCGGAGGGTCGTTGAGGGTCGATAGAAGAGCTCTTATGCCTCAGTACGACTTTCACGACCAGCCAGCGTTGAAGAGGGGGGGAGACCACACCACACGGCGTCCATTTTATGCCTCGCACTCTCATGATCTGACAACCCAGACGGTACAACTCCCTGATAAGTGAGTTGTACCGTCTGTCTGTCTACCACTTTTCTTCATATCGACTGCCTAAATTCCTCTGGCCAGCCCTCGTGTTGTTGGGCTGTTTTGTCACTTTTTACGCTGCCACTCAATAAATATTCTCATCGATAAATTTAATGGTCAATATTGGTTAATAAATACAGTATTGTCATCATTTTATACAATCCAATTTTTATAGATAAATGGTCATCAATATTGTTAAAAAATAAAACTAAAATACAGTATTGTCATCATTTTTATAGAGTATTGGTAAACAGATTAATTCATGCCCCGTCAACTTTGCAATGCATTTGTTGATAAACACACGAGGTGGCAGATCAATAATGGACCAATATTTATAAGTCATTCAAACATTACTATACTTTCATCAAACTGTTTTATATTGAAAGACATTCCACTCCCTTCTTGCCAAATCCTCGAGTAATATTTTTATACGTTCTATATATAATAAGTGCTTTGTAAAAAATCCTGTTCTTCACTTAGGATCTCGTAATGCCACAGAACTACGTTGTCTTGTAAATCGTCTTATAAATATTGTATCACTAACGTCATTCCCGTAGCTTTTAATAGTAGCGTAAGAAACGAAGAAATTGTATTAAACTTATTTAAAATAACACTTAAAAGTATCGGTAAAATTTCGAGTAAACAAAAATCTTCGTCAAAACTCGGTGTAAAAAAAAAAATAAATAAATAAATGGGACAAAAAACAAAGCATAAAAGATAAACAAAACAAAAATGTATAAAACTTTAAGTAAAAACCACTAAAATATTTAAAAAAATCATACTTGTGGTGCTTCTTTCCCTTTACCAACTTTTACATGTACACAGCCCGTTATAAAGTATACAGGAGATGGTGGCATAAAGGGATACAACAGCTGGTCTATAGTACACAACAGATGGTTTATAAAAAGTACACAACGACTGGCTTAAATTGGTACTAAAAAAAATTGCACAAAACAACACGTCAGGTGGCTAAAACGTCCACAATAACTGGTTAAAACTTACACAAAAGATAGCTAAAACGTACACAGTATCTGGATATGATGTACATAACAACTGACCCGTATCATCGTTGCCAACTACCGTATCAAGTTCATAAGGTCATAGAACAATTGAAAACACGACAGGGTAACTCCTCAGTAATCAATACGATGTTGCCACTGTATCGACATCACACGACCCTCTCAGGAACGACCCACCTCTATCAACCTCTTGAGACGACCCGCTTAGAAACGACCCACCAAGACATTATGGTTCCTTAGTACAACTGCTTTCTGTGCGACTCGGAAACGATACCCGATTACCGAGACGACCCGCCCTCCAATACATGTCTCCCAGACGAATCGGTGGAAGGGCTCCCTGATAAACGATTCTTAAGACGACCTGCCATCGGTTGTAGGACTCGCCTAAACGACTCTGGTGACGACCCGCGGACGAGGATCTCGCTGGAACATAATAGCGTGCAGGAATGTTAGACACTTTACAGCCGTGATAAACATGAATTATTAAGCGGACCGACCCTACCAGCCTCAACGATTGTGAGGTGTCCGACCAGGCCAACCCCTCCGACACAGTGAGCCAGGTCAACCTCTTCTGACACAGCAAGACACATTAACCTGTCCAGCCACGTCATTATCCCTGACACGGCGAGCTCTTTTATGTACCAGAACTAAGATGATAGGGGGGGGGGCAGTTTGTAGGTAGTAGGCAGCTATCAAACAGGGAGGTACACCGCCTGGGAAGATACTGGAAGCATAATGTGTTGCTAATGGTATACCCACCTGCCATAGGGCATCACGAAAATTGTTTCTCTTACTTTGACAACACAACATACAGTACAAATTGCTTCACACTCAATCTGTTTTAATTTTTCCGTTGCTGTATTCATTTATAGTGCATCCCTCCCCAGGCCCCGATGTGGGTCGGTGACCTGTGCCCTGGTGAGCTAATCCCCATGAAAAATATAAAATGTTAGGAAGTGAGAGAAAAGAGCGGTTTTTCTCTTCCCCTGGCTGACCCTGTGATTCACCCGCACGGCGCTGCCAAGCGTATGACTACCCGAAACCTTATACACAGCTAAGACCCCAGCCCAGAGGGACATATACCCACCAGAGGGGACACAAACTCCAGGACGCGTAAACTCTTTGGGACAAGTAAACTCCAGGGGGACATGAGAACTCCGGGGGGGACAATGGAACCGGGGGGGACAATGGAACTCCGGAGGGACATGTGAACTCCGGGAGGACAAGGGAACTCCTGGGGGGCATGTAAACTCTTGGGGGGGAGGGGGGGGCAAGTGAACTCCTGGGGGACATGCGAACTCCGAGGGGGGACAAGTGAACTCCTGGGGGGGACTTGTAAACTACAGGGGACACACCCACCAGGGACACGTACCCCAGTCAGCTACATTTACGCTCGACACGCCCCTATCAGCGTGTGCACATATCAACATCCTCCTGCAACTCTGCAAAACTTGAGCAAGACTTATCTAGTAGCCATGACGCCGCCGCCCCGTCCTCGCCAAGTTACTAAACATCTGGACCATTTGAGGCATGGCTGGTGGCGTCTGGCGGCCTGGCGAGCGCTGTGGATGCTTCCCCTCTCCCCCAACATGGGCCAGCAGTGAGGGGATGTGGGGACACACACACACACACACACACACACACACACACACACACACACACACACACACACACACACACACACACACACACACACACACACACACACACACACACACACACACACACACGTATAAATGAATAATGGAAAGGAAGAGAGAAAGACTGTGTGTGTGTGTGTGGTGATGAATGCCTGGTAGGGAGGGAGGGAGTCAGCTGAGGTATAAAGTAGGGTGATGGGAAAGTTTAGTGCTGTATATTGGGGTGGGAGCCGACCAGTCCGAGGTGTGGCTGGGTGATACTGGGGGCTGAATTCTCAAAGATTCGTATGTTAATGACAATTCTTTCCCCTCTGGTGCTGGGAAGGTTAAAACACATGTAACTGTCTAACTTTGCCTGCGACATTAAAAAAGACGGTGGTGAAGATGACTTTGTCCAAATTGCAGGAGACTGTCATAACTAGATGCTGTCCCTTATCCCTGACAAGTTACGAGGAAAATTTTTACCTCGGAAGCTTTAAGAATCATGGGTGGATCGAGGCTGCCCGCGCCCATAACTTTCCTTTTGGGGGATATTATGAAATACGGACACATTCTCTCGTCCGCTCCCTCTCATTGCAGTACTTACCTGGCGCCCACAGCCCGCCATTACCATCCAGCCAAGTTTTATATGCGTGTTATTGAACCAGACAATCAATAGTGCCACTTTTCTCAAATGGTCTCCAAATTGTAATGGATATTGAGCCATCTCGTCTCCCTCCCTTCCTCTCCCCCTTTCTCTCTCTTAAATAAAGTTATCGGTATACAGAATAGTTAGGGCATGTTTCTAGTTTCGTCAAAATAATATAAGTAGGAGCCTTTAGAATATACCTGAATTTAAAGTTCATACATCATATAACGAATAAACCCTAAACAAGGTTCAGAATTAGTATTCATCAAGGTATTACTTTTTTGATGTGAAAACTACGGATGAAATTAGTGCGTAAATTTGACTCGGGAGAGGAGTGGGCAGCAACTTACTTCCCAGTTACAAGGTTTTCAACGAGTTAATACGAGTTGGTGGCGGAGATAATGAGCCCCTGGCAGCACCCACACCTTCCCTCATCTACCAGAGTGCACCTGGTCGTTGCCAGAGTCCTTCTTAATGCTTAATTGCTTTCCCACTTTCTTAACTTGGAAAATTTTCCTCCGTCCGGCACCAAAAACTTGTCTTCCAACTATCATGCTTAATATTAATTTGACTAATTATCAAACCTACACTCACCACCTCGCCTTCCTCCAACCCTGATGGTATGTTGAGAAGGCTCAGGTGCTGATGACTCACTCTCTCCTGCACCTCCTTGATGACGAGTAAAGGTCCTGCTGACGCTATACTGAGAAGCAGAAACAGAGACTAATCTCAGTAGAAGGTTTTAATAATTCTTCATGGGTGGTCTCCCTTGATAAATTATTCAAACAAGCAGTAGAATAGATCGCCGATTGTCATATTGGCCACCAACCACTGTCTCCCACACTTCTTCCTAACTCATCAATTGACCTAATTGATGCAAGGTGGACTTCCAGCTTTCTCCTTGTCCTATTTAATTAACATTTGCACATCAACGTTTTTAGTATTATAGGTACTATTGTTTTTGTTGTTGTTTTGTTGTTGTTTTTTGTGAGGGGAAGATCAGGCACTTGGGAGACCTTTCTTAACAGGTACACGGAGATGGTGATGCCGAAAACACTGAGGGTGTTGAAGGCCGTTTATCTTCAGGAAAATTTTTGAAAAATACTTGAAAATAAAATTAGTATGGAAAATACACATTAATGAAAGAAACTATATATGACTGAAAGTTAAGTTTGTGGTGTGTGTATGTGTATAAACATATGCATAAGAGTTTAGGTGTGGGTGCAGAGGGTCACCTGCATTGTAACAAGGTGTCTAGTGAGCTAACGACAGGTGTGCACATAGGTATGGAGCGGAGGAGCACCTGTGGTCTCGGCGAAGGTGGAGGCGTCGCTGCAGAGGCTGGGAGTCAACAGCACCGGCAGCCGCTACGCCCCAACAAACTTCCTCCTCTTTGACAACGGCAACGGGGGTGAGTCAGACCATCCAGGCGTTCTTTTGTTCTGCCACCTCATTAACTTTGTCCTACCACCTCATTAACTATCTTTACCTCGAATCCTTCATCGGACACGTCAATCCTCCATGTTAAACAATGTACCAACCCTCCATAGTACACACTGTACCAACCCTCCATAGTACACACTGTACCAACCCTCCATAGTACACACTGTACCAACCCTCCGTGGTAACCTTCCATGTTAGCTGCATCTTATCTCGACTTATATTTATTTCTTTATTCATGAACCACACGTACGACGAACTCCAGGGCCGCGCTAGATCAGGACAAGCGACAAACCCCTCCCCCCTCACCCCACCCCCTCCTCCTCTCTCTCACCCTATCCCCTCTAACCCTACACTACCACCTCCCTCACCCCCCACCCCCCCATCTCCCGGACAATGAGAGGATGGACAGCACCTCACCCAAGTGTGTGTAGACTCTGTAATCACCTTAACGGCAGAGCTAGGAGTGTTTGGCCCCGTAATGGTGACCCTGTGTACACACTGCTGGTGGCCCTGTAGGTACACTGATGGTGACCGTGTGCACACACTGATGGAGGCCCTATATGTACACTGATGATGGTCCCGTGTACACACTCGTTTTGCACCCATGTACACACTGGCCGTTGACCCATGCACATCTGACCATGGACCCGTGTACACAATGGCCGTGGCCCCACATTGGACGTGGATCAGTGTACACAATGGCCATGGCCCGGTGTACACAATGGCCATGGCCCGGTGTACACAATGGCCGTGGCCTCGTGTACACACTGGACGTGTCCCCATGTAACTACTGTACATACTGATCATGAACCCGTGTACACACTGGACGTGACACCCTGTACATGCCACAGTCACGTGTGTACATGTGTGACTAATGGCGGTGTTTATTAATGGTCACAGAAGATCCAGGATGATCCAAGAGAAATTTTCATTAATTTAAATAATGAACAAAACTAAATTCCCGCGGCTCTACCTTTATGAATATGTAGAGGCCAAGTGCTTATGTATGAGACAAAAAACAACAACAGTGAAGCCCGGAATAATATCAAAGCATTCCTGTTTACTTTTACTCCAGGAATTAAATCCTCAGTTAACCAGGAATATTCCCATTGTATACATATTCACTTGTATATACAGGTACCGTACATATTCTTGTCATATATTCTCGAAAGTATATTCATCTCGTATTCAGAAAACAATCTCTCACTTTTTATCTTCATATATTCTTGTAACTCTCTCTCACGTCTTCTTATAATACAATCTCTCTCTCTCTCTCTCTCTCTCTCTCTCTCTCTCTCTCTCTCTCTCCATAGAAGCATCCCTCGTGTCTCTTCATTTGGGGTCTTTGTATACTATGATAGAAGACATAATGGGGGAAATGTACAGTAAGATTAAACAAATAACCACAAAAAAGGAAGTAAATTGGGTGGGACTATTAAAAACAGAGACAATACGATTTTTTTTTTTGGAGGCAGAAGTAAAAGAAAGATTGGCCGAGTATGTAGAGTACGATGGTAAGACACGAAAAGTAAATAAGATAATATATCAATTCTGGAATCAGAAGTTGAGGCAGCTGTGAGCAAAATGAAAAATGGTAAAGCTTGTGGGGTTGATGAGCTTCCAGCAGAAGTAATAAAACAAATGTGAAAGAATGGGATAATATGTTTGACTAAGATATGTAATTCCATGTACTTCAGAGGAGACCTTCCCAGTTATTTAAAAAAAAAGTCAGGATTTGTATTATCACCTAAAAAGCCAGGAGCCTTAGAGTGCTCCCAGTTTAGAACAATTAGCTGAAGTCATGCCTGCAAAGTTTTATTAAACATAATTTTCAGAAGAATAAAAATTTAAATACACAGTGAGTTATCTGATGATCAAAATGAATTTATAAAATAAGAGGGAACTAGAGAAGGTGTATTTGGTTTGAGAATTTTGCGTGAAAGGGCCTTTAGAGGCGCAAATAAAAATGTATGTCTGCTTTCTTGATTCTGAAAAAGCTTTTGATAAGTTAAAACACAATAAACTTATAGAAGTCTTGGGAAAAATAGGCACTAATGAAGATCCTATAATAATATTTTTTTATTGGCAACAGGAGGCTGCAGTGTCAGTAAATAATGAACTTACTAATTGGTTAAAAGTTATACAGGGAGTAAGACAAGGCTGTGTTCTATCTCCAATATTTTTTAATCTATATTCAGAATTCTATATGAGATAATTTACAAGCACCAATGAAGGAATAAATTTTATTGGTAAAGTAATGTCTAATACCTGTATACTGTACTGTGCGCTATGCAGATGATACTGCTCTTAATCACGAATAGTGAAGAGGCGTTACAAAAACTGGTTCACAGATTAATGAAAAAGGTGAAGAAATTTGTTTAAGAGTTAATGCTGTGAAGACGAGTAATAATGTTCCAAATTGAAAATAAATCCTAAAATGAAAATTGTGGTAGGCAACAGGGAACTTAGCAAGTGGAAAATTGTGTGTATTTGGGAAGTAACAACATTTAATAAATTAAAAGACACAATAAAAGAGGACATTAACTTCAGTTTGAGAAAAAACCTCCTAAAAGGCTAAACAGTATCAGGACTGTTGTATGGTTCAGAAGCGTGGACACTTTCAGCAGACACCAGAAAGAGAGCGGAGGTGGTTGAAATGTGGTGTTATAGGTGAATGTTAAAAATAAGTTACACTGACAGGAAAACTTCAGGAGAAATACTTGAAAAGAACAGAACAAAAAATTAGGTACTTTGGTCATATAACTTGGGATGAGTGGTTGACAACAGAAATATTTATGGGTAGAGACTGGGATGGATGAATTAAATAAAAAACTGACTCCGCAGAGATATAAAATTTTGGAGAATTGGTAAAAACAGCCCGAAACGTTACGAATGGAGGACTGTGGTCACCAACGTTAAGAATATTGTGAATATGGTTTATCGCGACTCCCTTCTTCACTTTATGTTCTCCATCTGTTTCTCTAAGTAACACGTGCTCTTTATTCTCATTCTCCTCTTTACCCTTTCAATTTCACACACACTACGTTTCACTTTCTCTTCGTCGTACTCTTCTGTTCTTTGCCTTCTTTCCTTCACACACTACGCTGCACACACTCCTCTGCATTCTCTTTTCTTTGGCCTCTCTCCTTTGCACTCTTCTTCATACATTCTCCTTTGCAATCTTCTCTTCTTCGGCCGCTATCCTCTTTTCTCACTCTTTCTTTATTCTCTTATCACTCTCTTTTTAAACCTTAAATCTGTTTGTCTTTCTTCGTCAGCATCTTAACACATCTATCTCCCAGCACCTGCCTCTAGAGCAGCCCTCGTGCACCTGTCTTTAGAGAAGCTCATACACACGTGGCTTAAATCCCATCCCAGATGCTCGCGAGAGTTAGATCAATTAAGGTTATTTACCACAGATTCTGACCTGACACGCAACGACGGTGTTTACTCCCGCTACCTGCCGCCCATCGAGGCCCCGGCAGCCAGGTACATCCTCACTGTCTCCCTCACCGATAACTCCGGCTCCGCCCAGATCGTCATCTCCACCCACACCCCCATCGCCCCACGCCCGCGCCTCTTCTCTGGCAGCCACTTACCCTACTCGGGACACGTGGGCACCGTGGGCGCCCACTATACACGCACCCACACCTACAACCCAGGTAAGTGTCGAGCGCAATATACACCGAGGAGTTCTTAAGAGTCATTAGTGAAAACTTTTTATTTTTGAAGTTTATCTGACAATGATTTTTAACACCATAGACACATGTCTGTGTGTGTGAGCCTAAGCTTTAGTAGCCTGCATGTGTGAATTACAGGTTTTCCTAGTAGTTTGAGCCAAGTTTTCCAAGCTTGTTATGTGCTAGCCACAAGTTTACCTAATCTATATACTATATGTGTGGGTAACGGGTTTCCTTAGTCTGTATATGCGAGATGTTTTTCTGTCCTTTTTATGGGAGTCGGCGGGTTTTTTTTTTTTTTTTGCGTGCGTCAGCTACAGGTTTGTGTTATCTATGTGTCAACCACAGATTCACCTCTCCTTTATGTTAGTCTAGGTCTTCCTGGCATGTATGTGGTGACACTGGTTGCTAACGCCATCATCCTCTACAGCGTGGCCTCGGTGCTGCGGGTCGGTGGTGCCCTACACGACGGGCCGCCCCACGGGTCAGCTCTATCGCACCATCACCGTGGGCGTGTTGGACCTGGATGGCGGCCTGCACTCCCTCGCCCACATCCCGCCTTCCCGCATCGCTGACTTGAGGGCCGAGATCAACGGAGCAGCCCAACAGGTGACCTTCTACTGGACAGCTCCCGGGGACCGTCGAGACCACGGCACAGGTGAGGCAACTGAAGCACTGTGATGTTTTTTTTTTATCAATACTTTTATTTTAATCCATTGCCTGCTGTGGTCACCTATGTGGGCTCTGTGCACACTGCCTTCTGTGGTCACCTGTCTGGGCTTTGTGCACACTGCCTTCTAGGGGTCACCTGTCAGGGCTCTGTGCACACTGCCTTCTAGGGGTCACCTGTCAGGGTTCTGTGCACACTGCCTTCTGTGGTCACCTGTCTGGGCTCTGTGCACACTGCCTTCTAGGGGTCACCTGTCAGGGCTCTGTGCACAGTGCCTGCTGGGGTCACCTGTCTGAGAACACTGCATGTGCCGCTATTATACCAGAGTCAAATACAAACATTACACGCAGTGTCCACCGGTTACGGCTCAATACACACAGTACACTGTTGGCAGTAATACAGCTCTCCCCTTATCGGGGTCTGTGCCAACAGTAAGACCCGCGAGAAAAGACAAGAAATGTGCACAGACTCGATTCCAAGATCCGCTCGTTTCAGACGGCTCGGAGGTCTGAGGCGCCATCACCTGGAAACTCCAGACGTAGAGTGGAATTACTTGTATTGTTGGCAGGGAGCGGCGGAGAGCGTTTCACCGCCCAGCCCCGGGAATTACCTTCGACACGAGACTGATACCACCGAGACACTGCGTCAGCGCACGACAGCAGGGCCGCCTCCCCAACTCACAAACCTGATTATTCCCACAACCTTTCTGGCAAAATACATCTCCTGTGTGTTGCGCTATGAATAAATTCTGGTGTTTTCAAGAAAATCTTCCCCAATTGTTCCTAGCCGACAGTTTGAGTTAACTTGTAATGCTGCAACATTTTAATATTGTAGATATCTTGAAAGTTGTTGCAACACCGTGAAGTTCAAACACCCCCACTACAATTAACCTGACCTACCTGTGTGGTGTTCAGTTCGACTTAATAGCTGCAGTGGTGCGTAGTTTTGTGTATTATTAATTTGTTTACAACTTTTATATTCATTCTAACTCCCGTACTGTCGCCACCTCTCCTCTGACGTACCCCTCACAGTAAAATGTCATGACGTCACTTGGTAATCATCACCACCGTGACCTCATGATTATCACCGTGTGTGTGTGTGTGTGTGTGTGTGTAATTCATATATATCCAGTCACCTGACCTTTATGAGAACGATTTAACTTCTTCAAAATGATGACTTAATTCACCGCACCCCGGGGGGAAGGGGGTCGTCATGTATTCTCATGGTCTTCGGGGGATTAGGTCATCGTCCTTAAGGGGGTAATCATCGCTCTTAAGGGCTAAATCATCGTCCTCAAGGGTTGAGTCATCGTCCTTAAAGGGTTCATTCATCGTCCTCAAGAGGTTAAGTGATCGTCCTCAAGAGTTAATTTACAGCCCCTTAAAAGTAATTTCCTTTTATTAAGAAAGTGAAAGCAGAGTTCATTTAGGCCAGAGCTTGGAGAGTGTCAGGAGGGCGACGCGGCTTTATACATCTTCGGTGGTTTCAGACTTTATCCTTCTCTAACTTGAGTTAGTTTTCTTTGACACAAGTTACGCTGAATTTATCCGTCCATAGTAATAATTTAGCTAGACATTAAAAACATGAATTTGGAAAATGGAAGTGATAATGTATAACAGGATTAATTATAAACGCTGAAAATAATGTTTCAAACATCCAACGTTTGAGAGTATCACACTGATGAATGTTATTTATCCAACCATATTCAAAGCCATATATTTCATTACACAGTTGGGGAAAGCATAAACAATTTAGCATCATACTCGTCTCATCTCTGTACTTTCTATTAAATTACACCATTAACATCTAGCAGCACTAACTTGTCCCTGGTCCTCTGCCCACAGCCATGCAGTATGAAGTGGTGTACTCCAAGGTCGCTGCCGACACAGGTCGAGGCACAGGTGAGACAGCCTCCGAGTGGACCACGCCCAACCGGGTTGGAATCGCCTCGGTCCACACCGTACGCTGGGGACGTCATGACGGTGTCTACTATGTCGCCATACGCGCCGTAAGCAGGACAGGGGTGCGGGGGCCTTGGTCCAATACTGCTGAAGTCTTCATGCCACACGCGCCCACCACCACTGAGATCAACACCCGCGGCTCCACCCAGGGCGGCGCGGTGGGCGGCACGGTGGGCGAACTGGGCGTCACCACCCCTCAGCCCAATCCTCTCTCCACTCGTAACATCCTGGCTATTGTCGGTGTGGCCTGTGGCATTCTGGTAGTCATCCTGATCATGGCCGTGTACTATTTACTGGTAGTGACGCGACGTAGACGTCACCACCAGGAGAAGAAGGCCATAGAGGTGCTGGAGCCAGTAGCTACCACCACTCCCGGCGGTTGCGACACTGACAGCGAGACAGATTCCATTACCAAGCCTCCACCTCCACCTGAGGCCATGGTGGTAGGCGAGGCAGAGGTGACGGGGAAGAGAGCTATGAGCCCAATACAGTCATGGCCGGCCTCTACCCTCCTGGCCGAGCATGAAAGACGTCACCCCCACGATGCTCCTGATGGAGGTGAGGGTGGGGAACTGGCCCTGCATCAGCCTGACCTTGGCGTGCCCTACATGCCCACGGTCCACCCAGCGCCCCCGCACCCCTTTTACTACCACACTCCCAACGGACACTACATTGAGGACAATCTCCCCATGGACAGCGGATCCATGATATCTACCCAACCCTCAGAATCCCTCCCCGTCTACAAAGTCGACTCCAACACCAGCGACAACCTACGACAGGCGCCTTCCTCCGTCTCAGCCACTCCTGTCTCCTGGGAAGGTGGGCGGCGGTCGGGGCCCATGAAAGTGCCCCCGCCAACCCCCCCGAAACCCACTCTCTCCGCCCACCTCACGTTGGGTGGGGTGGCAGCCACGCCTATGGGGGCAGAGAGGAAGCGCAGGAACGTGACCCAGGTGTGAGGCGTTGGCCGCACCAAACAAACATGGCTCGTGGCTCATCAAGAATCAAGCTTACACGCCCACATTCCTTCCTACAGCAGGAATGAAAGTTGAATATCAAATTATGTGTATCCATGAGGACACAGGGCCTTCCCGGGTGTGTGTTCACGACCCAGGGAAGATACAAGCTAGCCAAGCCCCATAGCCCCCCATACCCTGATGAGGGGCCCTTGATGCGGCAAGCGTCTTTGCCTTCTGAACTACTGCGAGTGTGACTTACATGTCAATTACAAACTACAATAGTGGATATTACTTTCTAAATTGTGTGATTACCCAAAGCATACTACAACAAGAAACAGGAATCGTAACTCTTGGAAACAGAAAGCTTCACTTGGTGCTGACAGTGGAACAAGAAGTAGTCTCCTTACGCGTATATGAATTGTTGCTTTCATATCAGTAGAATAATAGTATGCACTCGGAAAATAGCAGCAAGCAGATTCTTTTCGTGTAGTGGGTAATGATACAAGACTGGGTTCTTTTGTGTCTTTGTCGGACAATGTGTTATATTGTTCACGGTCGTAATTCCGTTGAAATAAGAGTCGTTGGGGTCTCTCTATATCCCAAGACATAGCTCACAAGAAAGGGAGAGTCTGGTGTTATCATTTGTAAACTCGGAATTTTTCTTCATTTCGTAAAAAAACAGATGGAGGTGGACTACAAGGTGGACGCCATCTACCAACAATGTGACTAAGTGCTGTCTGTGAAAGAGATAGTAGTGTCATATACTTAGGTTTTCATAGATTATCTCATTCGGAGTAATAGAGTGGAGTGCATTGTACAAGGTGTTATGTCCCTGTTAAGACAACCTCACACATTGAAGTCATGGCAAAAAGTAAAAAGGTGAATTTACTTGAAATAATTTGTGTTCCAAAAATGAAGAACCTTTGGTTTAGTTTTTTATCCATTCACAATTAGGATTACAAATTTGTGTATGGGGTGTGTGTGTGTGTGTGTGTGTGTTTGAGTGCTTTTTTATTATTATTATTTTGTGTGTTTGTGTGTCAAGTGAGGACCAGAGGTGACGTCTGACAGGGGAGGGAGGGGGGTTAATAGTCCTTAATCCCAACCTGACCACTACAGTTGTAAAGCTTTGGTCTTTGTTGTGCTTCACGCTTTGTGTACAGCGAAGCACACCACATACCAACAGGCTTCACTTTGTCGGATCCAATTTTTTTATTCTATAAATATTAGCTGTGGAGTGTTTGTATATCTGTATTAGCTTATCAGTGTTGGAGGGGCAGTGGTGTTGCATGCCCCCAGTGTGTTGGCAGGGCAATGGTGTTGCATGCCCCCAGTGTGTTGGCAGGGCAGTGGTGTTGCATGCCCTCAGCATTTGCAGGGTAGTGGTGTTGCATGCCTTTAATATTGGCAGGGGAGTGGTGTTATATGCCCTCAGTATTGGCAGGGCAGTGGTGTTGTATGCCCTCAGTCTTTGTAGGGCAGTGGTGTTGTATGCCCTTAGTGTTGGCAGGGCAATGGTGTGGTGTTGTATATACATTTAGTGTTGGCAGGGCAGTGGTGTTGCCTGCCCTCAGAGCTCTTGAGGGTAGAGGTGTTGCATGCCCTCAGTGTTCTTGAGGGCAGCGATGTTGCATGCTCTTAGTGTTGGCAGGGCAGTGGTGTTGCATGCCCTCAGTGTCGTAATGTGTGCCACCTTCAGCCAGGATCTGTAACTCGCTGCCACTTGCAACATTCTCATACTTAATATCAAGATGTACACTTCGTCGTCCAACTGGGAACTATCTGCACATATTACTCAATAATGTATTTATAGTTGCACCTTTTTTTGTATATGATGTACATAGAAGTTTTGTGCCAAATTTCATGTAGGCCATGTCTATTTTTGTACTTGTGATACCGAGGCATGAGGAAGCAGGTTGAACTAGACGCTGCAGAGGTCACCTGGACATTATGGTGTTCTCTCCCTGACAGACAGACACTTGAGTGACACTTCGTCATGACCAAAGTTCATGTGTTTTGTGTGAGTTCGAGAAATGAGTGTGTGTAAGTTTCTTTGTGTGCGAGAGTCATCTTTTGATCTCCGAATGGAAGGCAATTAATTTAGTAGCTATTAGATGTTCGCACACTGCTTGAGGTGAACAGTTTCCGAGTGGCAGCTTCTGCAAGACGAGGAGGAGGAGGTTCTTGAAAAATGTCTTCAGCCGTACTTGGACACTAAAAGTGGTAAGTTATACTGTACTCGGGAGCCTGGAACGTGTAATGGAGGAGATCCCACGGCGGTGAAGAGTCTTCTTGTGGAAGTTTCCAAACATGAAGACGAAGGAACGGCAGGATGCCACTACTAAGTGTGTGCGGCGTCACTGATGTCGCTGCCACATGCAGGTCTATTTGTGTGTGTGTGTGTGTGTGTGTGTCTGAGCACCGCTTCTCAGGCACTGTGTGGGACAGTACCTGTTCCTGGCATGGATTTTGTGACCACTGTTTCCATGAACTTTATAAATATAGTAGACATTTATAGATGAGCTGCTTCAGTGAAAAAAGACCACTGTTTACATAAGCCTACATGCACTCTAGTGAAGTGATAATTCAACAGTTAGTGACGATTTATCCGAATAGGAAAATACAGGGAATAACACTGGCTGGTTTAATTTTTTGATAATACGTAACTTTCGATAATGTTTGTAAAGAAGTGGAGTTAGCTCACCTGTCACTACAAACTTACTCCTTAAAAATTAACCCTCAAAAGTATAGCTGATAAAGCGCAACTCTCATACCTCTATAACAGGTAAATTAAATATCCTTCTTTTCAACAACTTAAAAATATATAATTTCTCTAGTTCACTAGGAATGCAGTAGTCACCTGTGTCATAAGTTCCTCTGACAGGTGAGCTTGTTAATTTGCTTTACTGCCGCACCTCGACTCCAAACCGAGGTGAGCACTGACGACCCCGACTCTGTGCTCAACACCTGCTGACCTAAACTTCTCAGTGTCTCGTGTTCAATAATGCTCATGCCCCCACCCTGGCCCCGCTCCACCCCGCTCCCACCCCACCCTGTCTGCCCCAATACCGCTGTCACGTGTACCCCCCTCCCTCTGTATCCCCCGTCTAGCCCACACCCTCCTCAGATTGTTCCTCCTGCTGCCCCTTGTTATTGGCACCTGCCAGTGGTGTTCCCTCCCCACCGCTGACACCACCACGTCCAGACTCACTCAGCTCGAGCAAAATAAGTCATTACAATAAATATTCCGTGATATATATATATATATATATATATATATATATATATATATATATATATATATATATATATATATATATATATATATATATATATATATATATAAAATACTAAAACCACCTATATAAAGCTCACGTCGAACTGAGTCGTGTCTGTTCGTTGTGAAAGATTATTTTTATTTTCGTTATACAGGAACGCATATCAACCCGCTTTAGCACTTACGTAATGCTGTACGATAATCATTATTGTGTAAGTCTGCACATTTATGTTTTAGAGATTAAGAGATCCACTAGGCGGAGAAAGAAGGGAGTAGGTATGGTGAACAGAGACAGCTGTGTGAGGGACGTCATCAGGCCCTGGAGAGGAAACGTATGATACGCCAGCTATATGAAAGGTGTGGATCACCCCGTCCATGTTACTGTACTGTTACTTACAGTGTTCTACAGATTAAGGCAGCAACACTTGATTTAATAAGACATAATGGTTTCTGTTTTGTACTCTTGGGTCGCGCCCCGTCAGAGCACCATCCAGAGCAGCTACAACACACATACTATATTGGCTGAACAGATACCCGGTATTTTCCATTTAAATACACAAACTTATAATTATATCCTAAACCTTTACCCAATAATGTCAATAAACGTAACATGTATGGAAGAACTTAACCTCAAAGAAATCGAATGTCCAGGTGTAAAGGCTATGACAACGTGAGCTGTGTTCTGCTGCTCGATGGTTCCCTGTGAGGCTCGACCCCGGGCATGGCTGGGGTCCTCAAGTGTGGCCAGCCAGCCATGTCCTCTGATAGGTTACGCAGGTTCACTTCTCCTGGCTACGTCCTCCTCGCTTGACTCACCAGCCTCCCTAATAACCATTTTTTTACGAGATAATGTTCGCCGATAACCATGTACTATGGTGGGCTTCGGACCTGCATGCTGGGACCACTACAAATCTCGCTCACTGAATGCCTGGTGGTTGCCTGGTCCGCGGCCCTCGATACTATTACCGGCTTTGAGGGTGAACTCGGAAGCAACCACAGTACACAGTTTGTTCACAGCATCGACCAACAAGCTATTATTGAGCTTTATAATCGAACGATGATAAATTTAACAGGATATTAGCAGTTTCTGGAGAACACTTCCACCTGGGGCACGTGAAATACCCCCCTAGAGGGTATGTAACATTGTATACGGCTGAGTGATACAAGCGCATCAATGGGACTCAGCCAGACCAAGTGAAGGACTAGAGTGTGTCTCGTTGTGTGATGGTTATTGTAAACTTGTTTGTTACGAAGCCACTGTGATTTATGTAGTTTATGATTACTCTTTAGATATTTATATGAACATTATTGTCACGATTTCCTCCTTTTTTAATTTATCTAGTCGTGGGATTCATACATCATTGTCCCTGTGTACAGATCTCCAAATAAAAAGACTCATTGAACTGGATCTTTATTTCTACCCCCACTGATACTACTGAGACACGCGTATGTTTGTGTTTTATACGAGGCATCACACTCACTCCTGAAAACCACACCAACTTCACTCAACACCAGGCAGTTACAGTCACGAACCAAACAAACTTCCTTTACACACCAAAAACTACGAACTGCTTTTCTACCCAAAGATGGCGCTGTAGCATCTCACTTGGATTCAGTGCAGTAGTGTCAAACAGGAGTGTAAAGAAAAATTAGATCGTGACTATAACCTGTAAGAGCTGGGTTGGATATCAGAATTGTTTCATCTTTTCCCCAGTGGAATATAAACTCCGCTCACGTATAGGGTACAACACAGTTTCTGCCCACGGTATGTAAGCACTGACGGCTGAATCATTCTCTACTAGCTGCCATGTGTGTCACTCTTAATGTTTCCTTAACACAGGACACGAGAGAAAATAATGGACTTAAGAAACCATCCATTCTCAACACACTACACCGCCGCCACCGAGCGAAACACACTCGTAAAACTTCACCAAAAATGTCAAGTCTTGGAAAAAGATACAGTGGGGAGAAATCATGTTGAGCGAACAAGAAGACGCTTTAAAGGAAACGACCTCAAAAGACCGGGATGAAGACTCTGGTTGGAAAGTTTGAGACTCAAATGGCAGCTGTCTCGGGCGGCACGGGACGTCCCCTCCCTCCCTCCCTCACCCGCAGGTAAGAAGAGAAAACTCCTCTCTAAAGATTCAGGTAAGAAGAGTAAACTTCTCTCTACAGACCCAAGTAACAAAGAGCCAACCACTCCTCTCTACAGTTATATAATAAGCTTACTGGCCACTACACATCATTAATCTCCACATAACTCTTCCTAAGTATTACCATTTCCATAACCACTGATCCGAGTCATGTTGGTTATGTAATAGTATTCTACCCACTTATTAAATACCATGAAAAATAACAAATAAAAACACCCCATTACCCGAGGTATCAACTAGTATTAAAAAATATATATATTCTACAAAGAAAAAAAAATCCCTAATTGGCATAAACAGACCTCGTGACATTTTTAGCCTCCTCTTTCTGGTTTTATTGAGTTACATTAATGAAAATACTGGGGGAAATAGTGCACTCATGCAAACATATCCCGCGACCTTTTGCATTACGTAGTCTGACCTATCTAGCGAGGAGGTATTTAAAAGAATCTGGTCCCCCAAAATTTTGACATGAACAAATGTGAGTGTAGGTGCATGGTGACGCTGTTTTTATCAAACATTCGGCGGACCATGCTACAGTCAGCGTTGTCAATCCTAGTCTCCGAGTCATGAACCACAGGAGTATGGACCCGCGACTGAACCATTCACTTCTCCAGTTTATGGGGTATTTTACCCAGGTATGGATTCTCAAATATGTATAATACAGTTCCTTTACATTATTGTCATTACATATAATGTCTTGAATGTGGTAGATTCATTAACCAAAGGTCAGTGTTTCCTGTTGTCAATCCTAATCTCTGAGAGGTGTGAACCATGGGAGTCTGAACCCGCGTCCGAAGCATTCACTCATGACGTGGAGTGGGAGACCGGGGGCCGGTGTGATGAGGGTGACGAGCTAGAGGGGGAGAGGGGTAGGTGTGGAAGGTGACAATAGGGATGGCAGAGGGGCAAGGTAAAATGTCTCCAGCTACAACCCAGTAATGTGGTATCGGAAATTAGTAAATCAGCGCCTGTTACTGGTGTGGTTAATTGGAGAGTCATATATTACTGACTAAATGTTGTGAGACAATAAATAAGCCAATAAAATTCCACACTCCCTCTCCTGCCCCCCGCTACACACGGCCATCAGCCGAGCTCTGTTCCTCCAGGTCTTCCCTTCCCCGCAGAAATGTGAGGAACTGTCACCAGCCCGAGGGGCATACAGTATATTTTCTTTTCCGATCGGTTGACTTTTCTCACACAATGAGTAACAGATGCATTTTATTACGGCGATAAGCAATGTAATATCAATGTAGTGTAACAATACAACAATCCGAAATTGCTAAGCACATGTAAAATAACACACAACTATGACTGCTAAGAAGTTCCACACTTTGAGCGGATATTTTTAGTATTACAGCTTACAACAACGCGAAACACAGCTTCAGTGATTCATATATTCTGTCTACTGGACGACAGCACTCTTGAGATGATGTGGAGTCAGCAGGAAGGGGAAGGGCGAGCGTCAGAGCACCAATATACAGTCGCGTGTGGTTAGGAATGCTCGGTATGTGGATGTAACATACTAGTTTAGGTTGGGATAAACCTGAAACAGGCTACTGCATCCTATTAGAAGTAATGTTTGCACATACACTCTTGTTAGCTTTGGCCAACCTGGGACATGTGTGCCGTTGCATGGGGGAGACAGGTTATAAGAACATGTTGTATGCTATTTTGTCCGCGGAGGGATTCAATGATATGCAGTGTGTGTGCACACAGGGTGGCATATATGGCGACTCTTTTTTCCCCCGAAAATACCTCGTATTTTCACCCAAATATGATTTTCTGTCAGACCTGAAATTTGATGGGCTTAGCTACAGTAATTAAGTACATCCAGAAGAGCATAAAAACATCAGCCAATCACCTCGGAAACCAAAATTTGGCGAGTACAGTAATTAGCATTGAGAAAAATTTCTTTCAAATCTTCCAAGCGTCATTACGACCACAAATTACTCTGCATAGCTTCGGAATTGTCATGGACAACCTCCTCGTGGGTACCATCAAATCCCCTATTCTCTTCATTTGCGATTCGGAAGATGTTCCTCAATATGTCCCTGATTATTATGGGTTCTTTGTCTTAATCGTTATATATTTTATTTCCTGTGTAGTCAGTTATATATGGTGACTCGTTGCGGTTGGAACCTGTCAGTCTCTTGACTCGACGCCAGAACTCTCCTGGGTCGTTTTATGTTTGTGAGAGTTGTTCAACTATTTCGGCCCCTTTGAGGTTGCTTTGTTCCAGAGATCTTGCTCTATATCCTCCGGTATTCTGCTGTATGTATTGTAGCTTACGACGTTCCAACCATGGGTCTCGGCTCTGTTGTAACAGTTGGAATTGGTTGGTGAGGGCTATGAGTTCTGGAGTCTGTCGTGGGTGTGGGAGTGTTCTGTTGCGTTTGAGAGGGGTGGCCTCTTGGTAGGCTGTCCCTATGGCTTCACACTATGTGTTAATTTCTTCGTCTATTTGGTTCACCGGCTGGTTGTCTATGGTCTACAGGATTTTCATGTCCTTGTCCTCAAGTTTGGCTGTGGCCTTTTCGTTGAATAGTTCCCAGTTGGTCTGCTTGGCGATCCTCCTTGGTGGATCTGGTCTAGTTATTGGTGTTGCGGAGATGGTCATGATTATAGGTAGGTAGTCGCTGGGGTTACCGGACCTTGTTCAAAGAGATAGTTGTGGAAGCATCTGCCGTTTGTTATTGCTATGTTTGAAGTCGTGGCTGAGTTCCTACTGTAGAATGTGGGGAAGTTTGGGTCTATTAACTGGGCTTTATTGTTTGTTATGAGGGCAGCGAGGCCTCTTCCAACATTGTTGGTTGTCCTCTTACCATCTAGTAGAGGATGTCTGGCGTTCATGTCCTCGATGATGTAGGTTGGGTGGTGGTATAATAGGAGTCTGTAGAAGTCCCCGTAAGGCAGGTAGTCCCTGCGTGGTGGGAGGTAAGTTGTGGCTATTATGATTGGTCCTGCGGTCAGGTTGATTTGAACAGTGAGAGTTTCAGAGGTGAAGTCGTTTGTGATTCTTTGGTGGACATCTCTTTATGGCGATGGCCACCCCGTCATTCGGCTCCTCTGATAGATTGTATTTATGGATTCTGTAACCAAATATTATCAATTCCTCAGATGCCTTCTGGCCGTGTGAGTTTATGAGTATAACATTTGTGTCAACTTGGTTGTACTGGTTGGACAAACTTAATTAATAGTTCTCCAGTGGAGGACGTTATGTTGCATTGTTTTCACTGACTTACGTAGCGTGTTCATTGTTTCTTTGTTCTTGGTTTTAGTGATTTGTTCTCTGTGCGTCACTTCTTCATTGTGTTGATCTTCCCTTTGGTTGCCTTTGTGATGCACTTTGTGAAATCGATCCGGTTTTGTTTCATAGCCTTAAGGATGTCCACGTCGGAAGTGGAGAGGTCGTACTTTCATTTCATCTTGCCTTCAATTACTACTTTTGCGACTTCCTCGTTGATGTGGTTTAGTACGTACAGTCGGCCACAGGAATAAGTATACACACTGTAGCTGTAAGGTCCGAAAATGGTCTGGTAACGTTGAAACTGCGCATCCAAACGCATGATGAAACTCAGCTCCCCCCACCAGTTATCTCTAACTATTTTCGGTTTCCCCTTCTTTATTCTTCTATTTACTCCTCTTCCTTCCTTTACTAATCCAAACATCAGTAAAAAAAAGTAGGGTAAGAGAAAAAGTGGGAAGGACGAGGGAGCTGTACGATAACTGCAGTCCCATTCGGCAACAGGTTTACTACCATTGGATACAATATATTACTGGTAATATAAACACAAGACACTAGTAAAACATTCACAACAAATGTATTTATAACACATATGTAGGAATAAAACGTAAATTACAAGTCATTTCGTCTGTTCTGTTCAGGACAGTGTTACCAGATATTTTGTCTCAAACACAAACCATAGGTGTATACTTATTCTTGTGGCCGACTGTACATGTAGATGCATAGATTCAGGTCTTTACCTGATAGATCACTTGGAGTCTGGGAGACAGGTATTGTCTCTGGTGTGGGTACTTGTGTATCCACACGTGAGACTAATTTTAATTAAGATGCTATTGTTGACACTGGGAGATATTCCACCTCGATTCGACCTAATGAAGATATCAGTAATCTTATCAGCTAATATCACGTTTGATATCTGTATGATTCACCCATGAGGGTTCTGAGTTTACAAGTTAACACCCTCACCATTACAAAACCATAGACAAAACATAATCACAGCACGCAT